CTAATTTGGATGTAAATTTAAAAAAATAAAATTAAAAAAAAGAAGTTATTGTTATCTGCAATAGGCTTACATGGAGAAAAAATAATATAATACAGAGACTCATTGAAATCTTATTGAGTAATTGCTTGCATAAATGCATGCAGGAGTGAAAAAAAGGCACATGCCACAGGAATGCCATATTTAGAGAATGACATTTTCCTAAAGTTTTTAAATTCTTCTAATGTATTTATTAAAGAAAGCCTACACCTAGAATGCAGGGCATGTCTGAAGAATACTAAAATAATAACTTAATCCCCGTAATAACCCTGAGGTAGGTAATGTCCCTATTTTATGCATACAAACGGTGAGGCACAACCTCCTCAAAATCTACTGAGTTAGAATTCACGGCCAAACACTCTGGCTTCCAAGCCTGTGCTCTTGGTGACTATAATGTTGCCATACTGTATGAGATTTTATTTTGAAAATAAAATAGGTCACGTCACCCAACACTTAATACAGTCTCTCCAAAACCAGTACAAAATGCATGTTTATGACAAGCAACGCAATGGGTTTTGAAAGTTTTATGACTCAAATAGAAAATGTTACTGGGTTTTCTACAAATGCAAAGTGTTTTGAGGGCAGCATGGCCCCTCTTACAGAGTTGAAAAATTCTCTTCATTTCCCTCCACGTGAGACAATTACCGCAACAAAGATGAACCGATTTCAGTCTGCATGGTTAAGCAAACGCTGCCCCAAATTCCTGAGCCCTGTTTATATCTCTACCGTACCACTGGTATATATACTGAGCATCTGCAACGCGATTTTACCCAAGACGACAGATTTCCCCTGATGGTACCAAGTACGGATGTCCAAAGAGAACCTTAGGGGAACCAGGGGAAGTGCAACACTTTTTATCACAAATGTAACAGAAAATGATGAGTTAAAGCCACTTCCATCCAACTGACAAACTTGTTTGTTAACCTAACATGTCTTTGGATTTGAAGAAGATGTGTAAAAGAGTCAGAGGTGGCCACTTACTGTTTTTTTTTTTTTAATTCTTTTAATGTTTGATTTATTTTTGAGAGAGAGATAGAGTGTGAATGGGGGAGGGGCAGAGAGAGGGGGAGACACAGATTCTGAAGCAGGCTCCAGGCTCTGAGCTGTCAGCACAAAGCTTGGGGTGGGGCTCAAACCCACGAACCCACGAGTTCATGACCTGAGCTGAAGTTGGACGCTCAACCGACTGAGCGACCCAGGCGCCCCTACAATTTACTGTTTCTACCCATGCTCTTGAGTGGCTTGTGTAGCAAAAACTATGTGTTGTCCCCAGCAGCCGGGTCCACCCCATCCCGATCTTCCTTGATAAGGGAACTCTAGTTTTGTGGAGATGGCAACATGCTCAGGGAATGGGCACAGCTCCAGGGACCTAGTTGTGATTGGTCCCACCTTATCACACAGTTCTCCCTGCCCCTTCTGGACCCCCATCAGCGAAGGGCTTGGCTATAGTCACCTTATCCCGGTTTCAGCAGTAAGGTATGAAGGAAAGCCTGCCAGGCCCGTCTGGGACAGAATTTCTCCCCTGGAAAAAAGGAATATGAAGAGCCCTGATGCTACTGAGCATTAAATCAACCCTGGAACTATCTGTGTCTGAGCTTCTTTTCATGTGAAAATATAAGTCTCTATTATCAAAAACCACATGTAGTATGATATGTTATCATCCACAGCCAAAAGTACCATAATTTGTATACCCTAGTGGACTTGTCTTCAATTCTCAAGGCCATTGTCATAAGTATGTACATGCTACTGTATCCTGACATTTACACCAGCACAATTCCTCCTGGTAGGTACCAGATTCTTTACTTTCTTTTGTACGTAAATTACATTGACTTTAATGAAAATATAATAATTACAACATAAAATGTATGCCAGAAAATTTTTGCCGTCTAAATTGTAATGATAACCACCATCACTAATTAGGATGGATTAAACTGTCCCTGGCAGCAAGAAATCTAGCAAATGTCTTGATTATGCACAAGTAGTCCAAAATAAGGTCATATTTTTTGTCAAGCATTTTCACAAATCCCTGCGAGCACACCGTTCTCCTTCTCTGAATTCTGAAGCATACTTACCACCTGCAGATATTGAGAACACTGACAGATAGCTTCTGGCAAAGAGGCAACTATTCTATAGCAATATGACACTGGGAACCATATACTGTGCCAAATAGCATTTTATATGGAAGAAAATACACTAAATTTTCACATTGCAGGTCAAGTTTATATACTTCATGATATCACATTTTGGGAAAAGCTTTCCTCTTCCTTTTTCTTTTACAATACCCTTGTAGCAACTTCAATCACAAATCCAAGTGGAAACTAAACGATATGCAGTGACAAACTTAAATGAGAAAATTGTTCCCTGGCTAGACCTCTTACTGAGTTTGCTAGGACTGTGTGCTTCAATTTGAAGAGACACCAAGGATCTGAGAAGATGTGCACGATACTATAATGGGTCCGTGTTTTAGAAACAAAATACCTGGAAGAAGAAGCAAGGTCATTCAAACATGAAAGAAATATTGTTAGGATGCATATCGGCAACAACAACAACAAAAACCTACTGTACATTAGAGTAGTAAGATCTAAACATGGTTTAGAGTCCAAGCAGATGAAAGTATTTCCTAAAATCCATACATTTTAAAGAAAGATGGGTTCCTGAAGGAGAAAACCATTCGGTCGGAATGAACAGACTCATTCTACTGGAAGGCAGTGACCAGGCAGGAGTGAGCAAATTCAAACCAGAACTTGACTGGAGCAAACATTTTACTGCATTAAATCTACCCTCTATCACTTCGGTATACAACTTCAGAGATTCAAAATAGAATTCTCCAACAGAGACTTAATAGAAGCTGAAACACTAAGATTGAGCCCTTAGGCTTACACATTTATGTGACTGTCACCATAAGCCCCTCACATAGATACAATAACATTAAACATTCATTAAAATCTTTCTATCAACTGCCCACTTCTTCAAAAGGGATTTCATTTTTATCTTGAACAGATGGCAAGCCTATCACAGAGTGTTCTTTATGACCAGAGCATAAACACTGATTAAATCATTCTGAAACCAATTAAAAACTCAACATTTACTTCAGGAAGACATATCTACAATAAGAGAATGAACATGAGCAAACATAGTCAATTTACTCACTCTTGCCCCATCCCCTGAGAAAAATCTGACCGAGGACAATGAGTTATAGGAGAAATAATCTACCTCAGGTTAGCTGTCCCATTGCTACCTGGGTACTCAATTAAAAGGGCAATTGGCCAGAGATGTTAGAATTCCTTCATCAAATATGTGTTGGAGTTCCCCAGTGATGAGGCCATCAAGTACGCAGACACACACACCAAAAATTAATTTTAAAATCTTGATTCCCATTACAGAAAAAAAATAAATAAATAGAACAGATGTTGCCAGAGCACAAATCCGGGCTCAACTTACCTTGTAGCTACTTTAGCAAAAATCTTAAAACTTCAAAGTATGAGACACTATACATGACTACCTTACATTATTTCATTTAGTCTTTATAAAAAAGTGTCCAAATGGTATTCATTATTATTATTATAATTTTTACAGAAAACCTTTGAAACTGGGTGGCTCAGTCCGTTAAACATGACTCTTGATTTCAGCTCAGGTCATGATCTCGCTGCTCATGAGGTTGGGCTTCACATCAGCCTCCATGCTGACAGTGCAGAGCCTGCTTGGGATTCTCTCTCTGCCTCTCTCTCTCTGTCCCTCCCCCACTCATGCTCTCTCTCGGTCTCCAAGGAAATAAAATATTTTAAAAATCTTTTAACTTTTTAAACATTTAACAGACCTTGCGTATTTTCCTGTGATTTTTCACAACGTAAAAATAAGGCTGTGTTCTCAAAAAGGCTTTTAAAACTATAGCACGTGCGAATTACAAATGACTAACAAAATCCCGCATTTTGGTACTGCATAGCTGGAAAGCAGGCCGGTGGTCAAGGGGGAGGTGTACCCAAATCGAAGGCAGTTTTAACGCTGAAGGCAGAAATCTTCATAGGAATCTATTTGTAATGTTCTGAAATTGCTGCTGTGAAAGTCTCCAGTCTGCCCTTTCGTGATTGATGGCGGTCGGGATGAGATGCCGGGATGTGCACCCTCCAATTTGGGAACCGGGGTGGCTGCCACCGCTGTGCTTTCAATTGCACCCTCATCGGTTCCTCTGCGGATCCCGAAGTAACCATCTTCGCTCCCGCTAGTGCCCCAGCTATTTTTAACAATCCAGCAATCCACCCCCGAGGCTGTCGGTGCTGTGGCCCACGGGCAAAACAGCATGATTAGTCAGCTCAAAGGGGTTGAAAGGGTCTGTCAAAAAACAAAACAAAAAAAGGGTCTCTCAGACCAGTGTAGTAGTAGATAGATCCCCCTGTGCCAGTGGAGGAAGAGATCATAGATTTCGAAAGCAACTGCCACGGGGCCACGACAGGCCAGCTCATTGCAGCCCCCATAGAAGCCTGCCACATAGTGGTACTCGGAGGAGGAGTAATGGAAGCAAGTCCTCCTTCGGTTTGCATGGAGAATCAGTGCCTGTGTAAGGGAAGCGTGGCTCTTCTATCAGCCCAAAGTCGTGGGCATATTTTCCTGTGATGAGGTACGGCCCACCTTCACAGCCTTGAGCGTGCTGGCTGCAAGAGACAACCTCTGGGGACTCAAGATTGGGGTCTGAGTATTGTTGGTTAGTGTATGGATCCTTGCTTCCAGCATACCCACGGAAGCAAATGAGTAGCAGCTTCCACAAGATGCTTGGCTTCAAACAGGAGGAACAAAATTGGTACCACAAACATTTCTCCAGTCCCAAGACGCTGGCAAATGTAAAACCATTTCGTGTATTTCAACAGTCAGTGGTGGGATTCTCCAGCTGTGGCTACTGCCTCTCCTAATCCTCTCTCCTAGGGTAAGCATCTCATGTTCCATGTATGTGGTTGCTGTCCAAGACTTCTGGGGGCACCTGGGTGGCTCAGTCGGTTAAGCGCCCAACTTTGACGCAGGTCATGATCTCATGGTTTGTGGGTTCGAGCCCATGAGTCAGGCTCTGTGCTGACAGCTAAGAGCCTGAAGCCCAGATCCTATGTCTCCCTCTCTTTCTGCCCCTCCCCGCTCAGGATCTGTCTCTCTCTGTCTCAAAAAAATAAATAAACATTAAAAAAAATTTTTTTAAGACTTCTGAACGGCATGGATCACTTTCACAAAACCATGGTTATATTTGTAGAGGGTATTAGAATTAGAGTAGTTTCCCTGGAGACTCTCAGGGTGTGCTGTGTTCATGTTCACCTTCTCAGAGGTAGTTCCCACTTTAGTTCCGAGGAAATGAGCCTACTTCCAGCTTGGCACATCATGCACCCATCCAGGCATGGTCTCTGCGGTGGCAACTCGTTGTGGAGGATAAGCTAAGGAATTCCCTGAGCTCGCACCCATGGGTTAACAAGGCATATAGAAACAGGAAGCCTCAGGATGAAAGCATCCAAAATTAGGTAGACAAGATTAAGTATTCAGGGCGGAAACGCCCCCCAACTTAGTACAATAGCAGAAAGCTGCTTTCAAAGGAAGGAAGGACCAAAATAGGTAAACAGGTGAACAGGGCTATAGACCACAGCAGGGCCAAGTTGCCCAGAACAGAGCTAATTAGCAAAAGAAAGGTGCCTTGTTGACCCTGAGGTAGCATGCTCTGTCTTTCTTGTCCCCTAGGCAAGATAAGGTAAACAGACCTGGCGCCTCATGCCTGCCTTAAACAACCATCTGCCAGGCACCAGGACTTTGTTTGGTATTGACCCAAACCCCTAACGCTGCATATCTTCAAAACCCCCTTTTCCTCACACTCATCACTCTTGTAAACCTTCTGATCCTAATAAAAATGGAGCAAGGTCCCTTACTTGGGGCTCTTGTCTCCTCCCAGACATTACGCTCTCTCACATGTCAATTCTGCATCCACTATCTTGCTGGACAAGAAAGAACTCCAGACCCAGAGTCTACGACTACTGGTTACCTTGCTGCCCTCTTCTTTGTACTTAAAAAAGGCAAACCACTTGTAGTCATTCAACACAATCTCAAAGCCTTGATTGAAAATCATGGTGAAATGGCAAGGATTGCCCAAATTAGCCCATCCTGTATCTAACTTCTCAAGGTGTGCCACTACTTTCTTTTTTTTCTGGTAGTCCCATAACCATGTAATTGACATCATGTTGGGAACTAATAGGGCCCGCCTAGAAGACCCAGGGACCCAGGAGCCCAGGGCAAGTGCAACGGGGACGTGTGTCACAGTGCGGGGTGCTGACAACACACAGCAGCCACAGGAGGGCTGTGAGCAGTCAGCAGGGCTAGGGACCCAGGGGAGGAGAAGGAAAGGGCAGTGGCCAAAGAACAGTGGCTGGAGAGCCTAAATGGCACTAATTATTAGACCATGTGAAGATAAAGACACTGTCTTCATAAGCTTAAGCAACTTGCCCAAATCGCATAGTTTAGTATATGGAAGAGTCAGGCTTTTTGCTCCCAGGTTTTGATTTCAGAAGACATGCTTGAAGGTACGACACTCTATTTCCTCTCAGAATAAGTTTTCCTAAGCCTTTTTAGAGAAAGAAAATTAGAACAGGAAGTTCTTTAAATCTAAGTATTGCTAAAACAAATTATTTTCATGCAATGCATACAAACAACTGAAATACTAGTTACAGATCGTTCTCATTTCTTCATTAAAGTATAATGAGAAATTCTAGTTCAAATGATTATATACACTTAAAAGAAATAAAATGAATTTATAAATATTCTATAATTCAAATTAGTTAAAAGGATAGCTTTTAAATATTTATATTTTAGGGTTTTCATACATACTACAAAATATTAACTTGAAATAGTACAAATGTTGTATTAAAATGTAAATGAGAATCTAATATATCTGAAATCCATCACTGGAAGAGTGTGTGTTAGTGATACATGACGTGACCTAACTCTTCATGATTCTAGGTGCCTGACAAAGCATTTATGGGCATGGCCCTTACTGGGAGGCAGGACTTTCAGTGTTAAAACTGGAAAGCCCAGGCAAACTGGGATAAGCTGGTCCCCCTAATTCCGGAATATTATTAGATAGCAGGGAAAGTCATAATCCAGAAAAGACACACATATCTGGAAAAATATCCTTCTGATTTGACTTAGATTCAGAAAAATGCATGTCAAATTGTGTACATTCTTGTGAAATTAGGCAATTACATTTTTTTCTGTTTAATCAAGTCCCAAATTTTTCCCAGAGACGGTGAATAACTAAAAAAAAAAAAAATCCATGTGGTTCAGAACTTTTTTCTAGGGTAATATCAAAAAAATGTTTGAATAGTCAAATATGACAAAATTTCTCTACTCAGCTTTGCTTGATCTGAGAGATTAAGCATCACCCAGAGTTATCATCTTTATATGTATCTGTAACTGGCACATCTAATATTTACTACTTTAGCACATATTTAATGCATATTCGGATTAGGGGGATGATAACTACAAATTCATGAAATGTATGATATTTTGCTAAAATTATCTCACTATGGTGCATCTGAAGCAATGTCCTACCGTGCATAGCCAAAAAAGCTGTGTTTATATTTTATAACTGATATTTACTGGATGATAGCAAAGCCATTTCAATTAAGTTAAGGTTGAATTTAACAGTTTTAACTCTTGTATGGCTATGACAGATGAAACTAAGTGTGGACTCAGCCTTCTCATGAATTTGTCCTAGTGGCAACAAACTAAACTTGGCAAATGAATGAATGAATTAAAATACCAATGGGTCATTATCAAGTTCATCACAACTAAAAGAAAAAAAATTAAAAATGCAAAAGGAAATTGCATTTCAATGTATTTCAAAGGTCTTAGTAAAATAATTAAGTGAGAGACATCAGTCCCAAAATAATACATGCATAATACCTTTCTAGAAAGTTAAAAACTACTAAAAAACAAACCAGAAAAAAACAGGCTTTTTGAGACATGCACATAAATGCAGGAGAACCATGGAAAAAGGAAATAAGGAAATGGTTGCCACAGAAACCATTTGGGAAGAAGAAGTACCAGGTGGTTGGGGAGAACAGTTTGGTTTGCTGTTCATAGTGCTTATTCCATTGTTTTACATACAAATAAATATATGGCTGAATGACAGCAAACTATGCCTAGAAAATGAAGAGAGTGTTATATCATAAGGATTACAGTTTTCCCAACTAAATTTTATTTTATTTATTTTAAATTAAATTTCCTCATTTAAATTTTCTTAATATATAATCTTATCACCCTATGTGAACCCTCACTCCTGGAGTCATTGAGACCAGGTAGAAAAATCCAGATTCATTTTCTTGTCCCCAGTGTTTCCTTCTCCACTTCGACCTACATATCCCTGTTACGTTCTCTCAGTACTTCAAAAGCTGCATATTGTCCAAAGAATAAAGACCAGGTCAAGAACACCTAGGATGTGGATGGGATCTGCCTTCTGTATGTTCGCATTGCTTCCTTCACTGATCACCATGCCTGTTCATGCTAGTCCTCAGTTCTCTCTGTTTTCTTGTCATTTAGTATCTTCCCTTCTGTACAAGTCCTACTCGCCTTGGAGGGCCCAGCTCAAGGTCACCAAATCCACCTGGTCTGAGATCTGTTTCCATTCTGTGATCCAGAGCACAATATACATATCTTATAACTGAATTTATCTATAGTAGGTGATTCCGTATTGCTAATTTAGCAAACTCTTATCGACTATTTACTTCTATCAGTGAGGCAATAAACAAATTCAGGAGAAAAACTTTGGCCAAGCCATATGCAATGCCCTCGGAGAGTTTTAGTCTAGAATTATTTACGTTCCTAAATCACGTGTTCTACTTGATAATTTAAAAAAAGGCATTATCAATCGATTTCACCTTTGTATATATCTTAGTACTTCCCACACAGAAGTTAATCAACTAATATTACTTTCACATCTACTCAGGGATTTTTTTTTTTTTAACTTCAGAGACCACTAATCCAAACATTTGTGAAGAAAAAACACACTAACCAAAAACTAACATCCTACTTGCAAAATCTGGAAATAATTTCTTCTAGTAGTAAGTCTTAAGATGCTGCGACAAGAATCACCATCCAGGGTCATGTCCTTTGCTTTAGAGAAGAAGTTCTAAGTTTGCCCGTCTTCATTGGGACTTGTTTTCTCATGTGGCCAGGGACAGTCCCTCATTTGTAGCTCTCTTTAATTTTTTTAATGTTTATTTTTGAGAAAGAGACACAGCATGAGCAGGGTGGGGCAGAGAGAGCAGGAGACACAGAATCTGAAACGGGCTCCAGGCTCCAGCACAGAGCCCGATGCCATGCTTGAACCCAAGAACTAAGAGATCATGACCTGACCTGAAGTTGGAGGCTTAACCGACCGAGGCACCCAGGTGCCCCTGTAGCTCTCTTTTAACATGTTTACCACTAATACAAAACAGCAAAGACCTTTTACACCTGTGAATACTGGTTTTTATCCCTGTTTTTTTAAAAATGATGGTTTTCGGGTGTCTGGGTGGCCCAGTCAGTTGAGCATCCAACTTTGGCTCAGGTCATGATCTCACAGCTTGTGGGTTGGAGCCCCATGTTGGGGTTTGCTCTGACAGCATGGAACCCACTAAAGATTTTCTGTTTTTCTTTCTCTCTCAAAAATAAATAAACATTAAAATTTTTTTTTATTTTTAATTTTTTTAATGTTTATTTATTTTTGAGACAGAGAGAGACAGAGCATGAACAGGGGAGAGTCAGAGAGAGAGAGAGAGAGGGAGACACAGAATCTGAAGCAGGCTCCAGGCTCTGAGCTGTCAGCACAGAGCCCGACGCGGGGCTTGAACTCATGGACCTCGAGATCATGACCTGAGCCGAAGTCGGACGCTTAACCGACTGAGCCACCCAGGTGCCCCTAAAAAATTTTTTTAAGAATAAAATGTGATGGTTTGTACCAGCTAAACATACTTCTGTCCTCAAACTCCATTGCAACTACTGGTGACCATGTGACCAGAGACACAGTTCTTAGCAATGAAACAGAAACAGAAGTGTCCTGAGTGGAGCTTTCACAAACATACTATTTTTCTAACAACAATAAAAAAATTGGACACCCATCTTTTCCTCTTTGAGATACCCATTATAAATACATATACATATTGTATGTGTATATGCATATATAAAACCATGAAATATATATTATATACCCATTATGTATTTTAATATATTGGTAATGGGTGTATATGATATATATACATACATACATGCCTAGATTTGGTACAGCCACTTTGCAACCATAAGAATAAATGACATTGTTCAGGAGAGGCCTTGGTTCTCAGACACTTCCTTGACCCACTGGGTTGGCTCTGGACTTCCTAGCTCTAGACTTCTGGTCATGTGACAATAAAAGATTCCATCTGATTAAGCCACTATGGCTCTTTCTCCTACTTCAGACTAAAGCAATTCTAACTGACATAACATCCCTGCTTCCCAGGCACAACTAGGCTGGATTAACTGCCTGTTCAGGGAATGAATTTAAAATGCCCAGGAAGGGTGGAGATTAGAACATTTTTCTGTAACATAAAAGAACATGGCTCCATGAATGGATTCTTTTAAAGGACACTACAAGCCATACAATTTTAGAAACAGTGTTGTCTGTTCACAAAGAAATTGAAAGGATAAACCTTTGAGAGGAGAAGACAACATACTGGCGTGAAAGGGAATCTGACTAGGAGGTAAGTTGAAATGAAAAGGAAATAAATTAAAAGCAAAATGGCAAAATTAATATCTTCATGAGATTAGAATCACTCAATATTATATTCACTAAAGAACAAAGCCAACACCGCTGAAAAGTGAATAGTAACGTGTAGAACAAATTTGAACAGCTGCCTCTAAAATATGAGAAATGAAGGGAGATTAAAATCACGAGAGAAGAAAAAGTAGATGCAGTTGATGGAAAAATGGTGTGCAACATAATTTGTGTCCATGAGAAAGGAACCCTTTTAACTAAAACAATAAATCTGGGTTATAATAGGACTGTGTATTCCCAAATAAAAGAAAGTCTTAAGTCTACAGATGAAAAGTCTCAGTGACTATAGGCAATATTAACAAGGATGAAAACCTGAAGTGATTCTATTGAAATTTATAATTTCAAGGGTGAAGAAAATAACATAAACTTAGTTCTTGACTAGACAGAAAAGTTTGCCTCCAAACAAAAAAATTCAGACTAACCTCAGACTTCTCCATATCAAATACCAGGAAATAATGGGACAACATCTATAGAGTTTTAGGTGGTAAAAATTATAAACAAATATATAAATACATAAAATATTTCTTCTCTTTGAAGATTAAATAAACATCTTATTATCAGATATTCAACAATTCAAATATATGTCAATTTTAGTTTTGAATATGAACAATTTAAATATCAGATTCTCAAAGTATTCATCAAAAGTTTAAAGGATTACTCAAAAGTTCAGAAATCAATAACAAAGTCACTTTAAAAAAATGCCTCCTAAGAAAATAATCAAATAATATACAAAATATCAGTATACACATGTTTATCATGGCACTATTTATAATAGGTAAAAAATGAAAACATCCAAATGACCAGATATACAAAACTAGTTAAATGGATTATGGTAGCATAAGTGATGGGCTAAGATCTAAGTTTTTTAAACCATACGTTAAAAAAATAGTGAAAAATTAGGAAATCATTACAATATATTAATATATGAAATAACTACAAAATGGGTGTGCTGAATGATTTTGTTTTAATAATGTGTGCAAATAGAAAAATATTGAAGAAAATACAACAAATGCTTACTCTGGTTTAAGATATGTAAGTTTTTATTTTCCTCAAAATTTTCTGAATTTTCTCTAGTAAATGAAAAACAAATTGCGTTTTTAATAACCTCTCACTTTCTTCCTTTTGGGTGAGTTTATTTAGGTTAGCTCTAGTGTCTTCTTTCTGGTTTTGAAGCTTCTTTCTGTATGTTTTGGTAATGTTTGAAATTGTGATAAGAATTATAACATCACATCACTTATTAGGTAAAATGACTATGTTCTGATCTGCTTTATTGCAACTGACAATCTTCATAAATCAAATTTTCCATTTTGTCTATGTCAAGAAAATACCAGGAAATTTATGTTTTAATAACTTTCTTCCAAAACTGTGAAACTCCAGAAGCTGAGTTTTCAATAAGCCGACCTATTCAGTAGTGCTTTTTGTTTTCAGTATAAAACCATAAATATGTTGGAACTGTAAGTGAGCCTCTAATCTTTCATTTCTAATCACTCTGTCTGGCCAGTTTTGTAGAATTTCACTCAGCTGATTAATACCTTTTGTGTACCTAATACAGTTTCGTTTTGCAAGAATATACAGCAGAATCATAGACTTTTTTTTACTAAGCATTGCACTTTTCTATAGTAAACAGAGTTACAAGTTTAATGGGAAAGAAAACGGCCGTTTTATTTTCTTTATCTATTTTCTGGTATGATGAATATTTTCATGGTAATTCTCAGCACAGTACTGGCCCTCGGCAGTGAACTTGGGAGTTCAGGCTGCCAACTCAAAGTAATATATGAACTTGAAAAACATAGATTGTTGTGTTATTATCTGAAGGTTACTTTATGGGCTCCTGGGTTCTTAACTCCGCCCAAACACATGGAAATTCGCAGTGAGAGCCACAAGCAGACCAGGTAGCACTGATTCTCAGCTACAACTTTGCTTCCTCAGTTGCCCACAGGGTCTGCACTGAACCCAAGATGAAGCATCCAGAGTTTGACAATCTAATTCCCTATCTGCCCCTTGGCTTGCCAACAATCTTTGATAAGGCACTTATCTGGTCTGTGCCTATAGCAACCTACAAAGTGAGAATAATATTTTGATCCCAGCTCCAAGATATGGTGATCATTAACTAATAATTTATTTTGAAGCTAAGAGACATAGATATGCCTGGAGTTATCAGTATATTTGAATATACTCCAAAATCCTAGGTATCTTGACTTTCTCATATCTGATTAACCACTATACAAATGAGGAAATGATTAGAAGGGGAAGAGGGTTTTTCAATAAGCAGAAGCAGGTGTTAATATTCTGGATCAACAGATTTGTACTGGAGCTTAACATAAAATCTCATCCATGAGTAAGCTTTCTTTCATTCTTGGATCGGATGTAATGATTATTTCATTTTTATAAAATTTACCATACTGGCATTTGGATTATTTTGTGATTTTTCTGGGAACTGTGTTTTTGCGCTACTTATCTGAATGCGAATGAGGCCACCGATCAATTGCAGGTATCTGTAGAACTTGAGTATCCTTTTATTCCAGACTAGCCACCCTATCAGAGGTTAAATGGATACAGCTTTTCAATCAACGGCTGTCCTCACAAAGGTATCATACACTATCGAGAATATATTTTTTCCCACATAGTTTCCTTTCGTTTTTTGTAAAAGTACAGTCTGACATACATTACATTATCAAAACAAAACAGCAAATACTATACATTGGAAAAAAAATAAATGAGTTATACAAGCACAAAATCAAAATGTTGTTATTTTTGTTGACAGGCTGCATAGCACTGGGGGGATTCTTCCTCTGTAACTATGGTAATAAGGATACTTATCTTGAAGATTAAAAAA